ATTATTACTAAGTATTTTAAGTGGTACTTTTTTTTCCAGTTGTATAAAATGTATATGGAGATGAACCCTCCTCCCGTGGACCTGATTCGAGTTCCTGCATTTTTGGGTACCTTGTATCACTTTTTTTTTAAATCACAATATTAATACAGAAAGCAGAGATAAAGTTTCAGTCTCCATTATTTTTGCTACAAGCAACAATGGTGTAGATTTAACCACAACTTCTGTGGAAATAACATTTTTATAAACTTTTTTGGATTATTCTTGAAAATAGAAGATTTTACATTTACTAAAATAAATTTCAAACAATTTTTTCCTACTATTGGTTTGATGAAAACCAGCAACTCACCATGAAAGATTGAAAATTATTGCATTCATACCAAAACTTGAAGAAAAAGATCAAAACCAAAAATAACAATAAAGCAAAACCAAAATTAAGAAAAAAGCTTAAAAATTTGAGTGGGCAATGAAATTTTGAGTTTTAATCTGTATTGAAACAAAGATTGCTAATTGACAATTCTCTTTTTCTTTTCTATTTCAGAGCTTTTAATTGATGCCCTTTTCAAACCTTCATCCAGAGTGAATCCTGAACACAAATCTAAATATATATTTGTATTGTCCTACGCAGCAAGTGTTACAGAAGTATATAAAAAGGTCAGTTCAACTAAGACCTTTATAAATGCCAAAAAAATCAAATTTTGTTCCAATTTGTGGAGCAATTCTAGCATGACCTTTTTTTTGTAAAATTGTAATTCTGGATCAGACTTCTGCAGCTTTGAGAAGAAAATAGAAATCAAAGGCCTGAAGGGCCTGAGAGTTGACTCGCTCGAGTTTATTGAGCTTTTTCATACAACATGTCATCATGCCTTATATTCAGTTTTTATTGCATCTTAAGAAATTGAATATCAGGTCTCCATGATTGGTTATAAAAATTAAGGGCTTCAAATCAATCCCATCTCACATGAGATTTTTTAAATTTATTTAAAGTTTGGGTTTGTAAATACTCAATGTGACAAAAATAACAACATTTTGAATAGGGATCCAAATACAACTGTTTAAATTTGAACAGGTCTCAATTTAAACCCCCCCCCCCCCAAAAAAAGTAAATAAAGGTGAAGGGTTTTAGTATCTCCCACCTTTTTAAGTCAAATGAGTTCTTTAAAAAACTTCTCTTCAGTATTTTTTAATTATAATTATCATAAATCTTACTAGATCTCAGTGTTCTATTAAGAAAAAAAATACAATAAAGTGAAATAAAAACGAGGGGAACAGGGAAAATCATGTTAAAAAGGGAGACAAAGTATCATGGAAAAAATATTAACATTTAAACATAAGATAAATCACTTAAAAACAACCTCAGCAATGGAAAACAAACATTAGATATCTATGGGAAAATTTTTCAAGATCCGCTTAACTATATACATGTATTCACACAATTTTACTTTAATTTAAGCATTATGATTATGTTTATGTTAAGTAACATATGATAATTTAATATAACATTGTGGAAAGCAGCACTGCAAACCTGGATTCTAAAAATAAATTAAGCACACTAGCTGCAGTGGTCTGTGTTATAAAGTAATTACGTCAATGATTCACACTACAAACCTGGATTCTAAAAATAGATTTTTCAGGCACACTAGCTGCAGTGAATGAGAACAGCAGGTGTGTGTGTTAGGGACTATTCTAGGTGAATGATAAACTTCAGATGGGAAGATTAGATCCGCCTAACTTGCTTGCACATACTAGTATGAATATAAGCATACGCAGTATTTGTATATGCATTGTACAGATATTTAATCGAATTTTTCTTTAAAAAAAACTGAAGACATAAGTAATGTTACAATATGAAATTTTATACTGTTTATACCTAAGTTTAAGCAATCACTCAAACAAAAGCATTTTTTTGCTAGAACTATCTTATTTGGTGTATGAATCACCTAGATGAATGAGTGATAATTTTTACACTTACAGCTGTGATACCAATGAGTCGCTCTGCGAGCCGACTCAAAAATGATTTTCACAGGAAGAAATTTACATATTCCTGTGCTTTGAATTATTAAAAAATAGCAAGGTTCATAAAAAAAATTGTATGCATTCATAATCATACATACTGTACGTCTTCTTAGGGTCAAAGGAAGAATATCAATAAAGATGAGCTGAAGCCCACAACTCAGGCTTTAGAACGAGTGCAATCTCTGTGTGCTGAGAATAAAAGCTCATCCGAGCTTATCTCAGATATCAACACACTCTTCCTCAATATCAAGTATGTCTTGTTTTATTTCTGTATGTTTGATTTATGCACCCTATTATCATATAAAGTAATTAAATCATCAGAAAAAGGAGTGTTCACCTATTATTACTATATCATGTTGAAAGTAGATCTGAATCACCAGTGTGCTTTCATTTTGACCAGATTTCCGGTGATTGCTTACGGAGTCCTACGCTGGGTGGATTATACTGTATCAGATGCTAGTTACTTCAAACTCAACACAGACCACACACCTTTACACCTGGTTCTTATCGATGAAGTGAGTCCTAGTCTTTGTATTTCACATGTCTTAATAAATCATAATTCTTCAAAACTAAATATGTATTTACTTTAAATTTGCTATTAATACATGTTTCTTCCATCCATGTATAACTTTTTATTCCCTCTGAAGAAATACATAATTTTTATTAATACATAATCTTTATTTTTAAGAAATGATTGGGTAAGGAGTTTTAAAAAAGTTATTTGTTAAAATTAAAATGTATCTTATTACAGATTGTTACGAACCATACTCTACTACATCAGCCAGCCCTGGACCTCTTCATCAGAGTTTTCGAGTCTTCATTTGAGGATCTAGAGGTGCTTTTTAGGGTAAGTTCTAAAGAAATAGAGAAACTGCTTGCTCTGCTCCCGATTTGTATTATTTCAAAGAACTTTTGAGCTTGACTGCTGTTTGTTATCTCCATGTAACATGTATGTCTATAGATCGTGGATTATTAGAATACTAGCAATCTTGTTTTAATTCTTGCTTTATTTGATTCCAACATTGCAGTTGGAACTGAAGAAGGCAGTCCTAGACCGAATGGTTCATCTCTTTAGTCGAGGCTTTGTTATTCCTGTTGTGACGTACATCAAAAACTGTCTGGATAAACAGGACACAGATATTTCACTCATCAGACATTTTGTTACAGAGGTCAGAATTTTCAATAATTTTACAAATTTGGTTTTCAGGCAATGTCTTTTTTTTTAATCTCTGTACCAAACTGCTTGGGTGCTATAGTTTTATTGCATTTCTGATAAAAACAGATCTTGTAGTTTATGTACATGAATATATTCAATTAAAACAAGCTAAAGGCTTTTCTGGATTTATGTATAGTATAAATAAATCACTTCACAGGTTGCTAGAAATTGGAATTCAAAAAGTGTTATAATGGCTTTTCATCTTATTATAAATCTGCAAAAACCTTATGCAACTGAATGACAAATGTTATCTCTGACCATAGGGTCTGCTACAGTAATGATGCATATCATTTGGGCAAGGGCAAGGATATCATGAGTTATGAGGAGTATCATTTCTGTAATTAGAAGTTTAATTATGAATGATATTGTATACCGATATTTTGCAGGTTCTAGATATTATTGCCCCACCCTACACTCCTGAGTTTGGCCAACTGTTTTTGCCCCTAATAGAATGTAGGGACATCACAGGTTCCATACGATCAGATGATGGCAATGACCCCGTCTCAGAGTTTATATGTGAGAATCTTTATCTGTTAGTAAATATCATATACATCTAACATGTGCATATACTAAAACATGTATCTAAATATATATGTAGTATGTACTTTCATATGACTAAGAATTTCTCCTTGTAAGATTTTTTAAATAATAAGTAAACAAGAAAAAACTATTCAAGTATGCTTAAAATAATAAATTTTACATTTTGATGTTCTTTCATTCCAATATTCTTTCTGAAACAAAAATTTTCACTCTCTTTTCCTTATTTTCAGTGCATTGCAAATCATAGCGTCAGATTTCTCAGTGGACATTGTGCTAATTAATGTCTCAAATGGGGCTATAGTCAGCATTGGCTTGTGGAATTTCCAGGAGAAAGTGATTTCCAAGTGCATGAAAGGTTCCGGGACTTACTGGAAAAGGAATCTTTCCTCTTTAGGACCAATTAGAATGCTTACAATCAGGACTGTAAACATTCTCAATATAGGTCAAACTGTATCATAAAGATATCTTGTTTTATTACTGGCATGTATATATGCATGTGCTATGTTGTCATATAAACGTGCCAATAAAATAAATGCAAAATTAATCTTGGGCATAAATTACTTCTTTTGGACAGTGTAATTAGAATAAATGTTCTGATTGGCTGCAGAGTTGGTGGTAAATTGCAGTACCTTGTGAGACTCCATGAGGTACCACCAACTCTTCGATAACACTGACATTATCATTCCAGGGAAATCTTGTTTTGCCCAGCTTTTCCTGTGGTGTATTTCAGGCCAGTACTAAATAAATGTTTCATCAGGTGGTATACTTAAAGTACAAAGTCAGGAAGAGCCAAAGACTCATCTTAGAAATATACGTAATGTTGAAAAAGAAAACCTTGACAAACAGGGCTCTACAATGTGCTATAAATATAAATAATCTTTAACCTTTTACTTTGATTTTTGAGCAATTGCCACTGCCATAAGATCTGCGAATTCTTTTTCTTTGTATATTTGGGTTTATATGCCCAAGACTCTGTGGTCAAAAAGTGTTTTTTTTTTTTTTTTTTTTTTTTTTTTTTTTTACAAATGACCTTGACCTTTGGCCTCAAAGTCTGTCGTCTTCCTCTGATCATTGATTACCTTTGTCATGAAAACGAAGTTTTTCACATTAAAAATTGAAATAAGCCAGAGTTCTTCAGACAAAGCTGAAAATGTTAAAACATTTTAAGATTATTCCTGACAAACAATTCTCCCTTTCAAATCAACATTTCTCATATGTATAAGGAAAAAACTAGCATTTCAGTTTTATTAGTTCCATAGATATCCAATCAGTTTGAAAACTAAATTTTCACATAATTTTTCTATTATATACTTTAAAACAAAATGACAACTCCCATATCATTGGATATACATGTAAATTCAATAGTAGATAAATAATTCACTACTGTTTGAGATGTTTTACAGGCTGAGGCCGCCTTGTCACATGACTGTCATGTGATCGATATTTACAAATAAAATTAGCTTCAAAATATGTAACACTGTATAAAATATAAATGTATCTGTACAAAACACAGGATGCACAACATTGATTTATTTGTACACACCATTATCAATAAATTATTTAACCATTGTTATTTACTATGGTGAAACATAGTATACACACACACACTGCTGTGATTACACAAAATGAAATACAGTAAATTTCAATGCACACACACGCAAATACACACACTTGAATCTTGCCTTGAATGATACAAGTAACATAGCAGTTTTATAAAATCCCTTAACTGGCTAAGAGATCATCAATTCTACAGCAATTACTAGGGGTAAAATCAGCAAAACATATTCTGAACTCCTGAAGCTGCCTTCGTCACCCACACTAACTGGGGTACCTTGTCTTTGCCACAAATCCTGTTATGCCAGTTTATAGACCAAGAGACCTTAAGGGTCTATATTGCTAACCACAGAGAAAGCTGATGTGTTAATACTTAATGTGGAGCAAGCAAAAGATATTATAGAATCAAATGTATACATTCAATTAGGTTGCCAGCAATCCTGGCATAAAATTAAGTTAATGCAATTTAGTCTATGCAATGGAAGAAATTGCCAGCTCTGATTAACATGTAAATTTACAGATTAGTGAAGATAAATTTACATATAAAATTATTAACACAAAGTTAGGGGCCTTTACTAAAAAATTCTTTCTGAAGTGTAGAGGTTTTTCACCCATGCTGCCTTATATAACAGAATTCTTCAACATATCAGCCTCCAAACTTGTAAGTATTTGGCAAAGATTTCTTTTTTTTTTGGTGAGACGGTTAATAAGTAAATTTGATCTGATACACACAAGAAAAAAAACAACTTTTGAATGAAAAAATTCAAATGAAGATAGTTTTAGCTTACCCCATCCAAAAACACTGCCTATCTTATAGAGTGAAACTCCCTGGGGATTTACCAGTGTTTGATATTAAATGAATAGCTGGACTTCTGTCAGTGCTAAGTACAGCAATATGTATAATGGTCATCTCACTATCATAAATTAATGCTTTTTATTTTGTATATTATCACATCAAACATCACAGGGTGTCAAGTACTGTAGTTCTTCCACTATATTAATAAAACATTAAGGTCTTACAGTAAGTTTCTCACCTAAATCATAGTTTTCTTACCCCTAAAAAATATACATGTAGTTCATACATACAAATGACTGGCAGTCACGTGACTTGAATTAATACATTTTATAAATCTGCAATCTCTCCCTAGATCTCAGGGGATTTGCTTAGCAACATGTTCAAAACTAAGATAGTTATCCAAACATAAAAATTGAGAATTGTACGACATCTACATTTTCAACAAAGGGTTTAACACACCTCCCCCACTGAATTTCCTGCCTTTTAATTTTTTTACCGCACATATTATGTATATGTACATGTCAATTTTTAAACATTAAATTCTGGTGTTAATATTGTATCATATATTACAAGGCTATTAAATCCAAATCATGAACTCAACTCTTAACACTGGACTATCCTGAACACTGAATGTGCATCTATACAAACACTTACCTCTATAAGAAATATTTCACTTCAGGGAATGAAATCGTGTACATTTACACTGCATTAACAAATGAGTATTAGCTTGCTGGTTTTTAAGAATGGAAAGCTTGGATATGTGAATGAAACTCAGCAGATGGCTTATACTAATACATATAATACTAGAATTGTCTACCACCCATCAGTTCAACACATTCTCACACACACATACACTAGCACTGTAAATCATTCCCTCCAGGAAATTCTTGTCTTGTATTTTGTTTTTGTTTATAATAAGTAACACAGCTGACAAAATTCAGCCTGTTTTTGGGAACTTCCTCCATGGAACCTATCTTTCATGGAGTAGTGTCGTCCTGGGCGCAGATCTTTCTTTCAGCTGTTTCCTGTGACAGTCGCCTACATATTGGAAGTTTCTGTCACTTCTGTATATCCAAGCTTAGAGGAACTTGGAAAAATATATGTGGCTGGGGTTTACAGAATTACATCACACACTTCAACACAGAAATGCTGAACAGCCAACTGGTCTCGACTGGAACCTGCCTAAACCATGACATGTTATCACTTGAGGAATGTTTTGTACAAGAGAGTTGATTTGCCCAGTGAGCGCTCCTGCTCCATCAAGAATAAAACGTCTCGTAATGTCACCCTTTTGATTCTCTGCCGTGTGCTGGTCTGCTAATGATAAAAATTACACATATGAAATAAACTACAAACAAGTGCTGAAACAAAATACAATAAATGCACGTGCATATTTACTAATGCATCTACATGCATGTTCAAAAGACATCTTACAGTTTTTGAAGATGAAGAACTGCCTCCATTGCTAACACTAAATCCTCCACTTCCGGTCTGTAAATAAACAAAGAAGATGTACATGTAATTAACTCGAATCCCTGTCTTTTTATCAGGTGTGAATCCATAACATACCAGGGTAGTGGACAACATGTAAGAAAATTCAATTTTCATAACAGGAAAATATAAACTGAGAATCCTCTGCCAGACTTACAGTACTAATCTCTCCAAAGTCTGTTTTCCTCTTTTTCCTCGGTCCTATAGCTGCCAGGGCTGTCTGGTTGGCCTCTTCCTGCCTCATCCTCTCTATCTCAGCCTGTTGTAACTATAGCACAAAAAAAAAACAATGACTAGTTTTACTTCCTGAACAATCAGTAGATTAGTTACATACTGTATAAAAGAAAATTTTTGTCCCCATTTTATTTTCACCCCTTTCGCACTAATCACAGGTGGGTACATTTAAAACGGGGCGAATTCAAAGTACACAGTATAATTTCTTAAACAAAATTGTGACTGGGAGAATTTAAAACAGGGCAAAATTGTTTGCAAGTGTGAAAGGGTGAGAATAACACTGAGCAAAAATAACCCGTATACAGTAGTAATTTAAGAAGAAATGATCTGGTATTTAGTTATTCAACTCCAGATGTAAATAGAATATACATGTATTACACATATAACAGTTTACACTGTTCGACATCAGAAACAGGATATAGTTCAGATCTTTCATAGAGAGAAAAGTAAGTGAGCTTAAAAAATTATGAACCAGACAAATTTTTTTTTTTAGACCTTTTCTGCAAGTGGCCTTCATTTTACCAAAATGATCTCAAGTCATGGTTGCAAGGGGGGGGGGGGGATAACTGAGATTCATTGAATTACTACCATCTAACCACACAAACATGAATCAAATATAGTAAAACTCATTTCACACGAACACAGATACAGCAAATTTACAGATATAAAGTTTTTATTCATTTTATTGTCATTTAATTGGGAAAATTTTTAATAATTCCATGTAAAATGTTACAGTTATAATGAACTATGATACAACAAATTTCCAGTTATAACGAACTCTGATATGAATTTCTAGATATGGTGAATTAATTTTGTGTCCCATAGACAGGTTCTCTTAGGATTCAAGGTTTTTGAGAAGGATGAGTCCCAGCTAAATTTTACATGACCCAGAAAAATTATGTTGAGTCCCATTGGTATCCTTCAACAAAAACCTTTATTTTCATAGACAGTTTGTTTTTGCAATAAATAAAATACAGTGTGTATGTATCCAAGCTATATCCCCAAATACGGACATAATTAATTGATATAAAAATTCAATTAATTTATAAGTTTAGGACTACATGTAACAAACATATCAATAAGATGTCAAACTACCCATCATTTGAATAAAGTGCCCCGCCACAGCATGATACGCCCATCAAATATTGTTCAATTGTCATAAACAGTTTAGAGTGCAAGAAAATCATGTCAACCTTGATACAAGGATTTCAATGATTTTTCCATTCCTTTTAATATTTGTTTATACATCTCCTGTGGTGTAGGCATTAATTATAACAAATATTACATTATAGATCCTCAACTGGTTGTGTTAGAGCTTGACAAATGTCCATCTGCCCCCCCCCCCCCCACCTTTCAGATTTGAGAGACATGATGCTCTGAATTAGTTGATATTTTCAAAATATTAAATAAAAATATCATATTAAACAATATCAATTTAGTCTTAACAACTTAATCTATATAAAATTAATATCAAAAATAAAAGACTGGCCATCAAATGACATATGCTATAAACTGACCAGCAGTTCTTCTGTCTAATTCCCAAAAGATACAGATAACAGCTGCTTGATCAGAGATCATCTAACAGAAATGATTGAGACAGCTAGCCTCCCTACACTGAACTCATTAATTAATCTTTAACTGCATGGATGCATGTCCACTCATTAATCCCAATGGATGAATGGATCTATACATACTATTTGCTTTGAAGTGCAATAAAAATGCATATTTATGTCACTCTGAAATTAAATTTGAAAACAAAGATTTTTTTTTTAAATTTGTTACAGAGATTTATAAAAAGAAACAAAAAACTTGTGTAATCTTGATGCAACATTTTTAATAAGGTTCCTGCAATTTACTCTTAGATTTGTAGGGACTATCTACCATAATTAAAAACATTTTTTTTAAAATACTTGATTTTTTTTTAGATTTAATGTCAGACTGGTTTTAAGCTGCAATCCCGAGTTTAATTAGTTTTAATTATATATAATTATATTATTTAAATTATAATTTGTTATAAAATATCAAATAAGTTTTAATTACTTTTCACCAAATTCATTTTAAAAGTTCGGCTAGCCAACTATTTAATCCAACATAGCTGATTCTTTTTGCCCAGTTCCCAAGAGATATAGATAACACCTGCTAGATCAGAGATGCTCTACCAGTTAGCTCCTCACACTAAACTCATTAATTTCTCTCTAATTTGACATGCAATTTTCTGTTATCAAATTCTTCTTGACCAGTGCTTGATAATTACACCCATGGGAGAGGTGGAATTTTTCCTTGTAACATAACATTTGTTATAGATTGCTGTAAAGTATATTATGAAAAAAATAAGTATTTTCTTGATTTAACATTTTTTTAATAAGGATACTGCAACACTCTTGCATTTTTTGGGATTGTGTAATCTAATAGTAAAATTTTTTTTTTTTTTTAAATTTCAATTAAATTAAAGGTCACAGTGACCTTGAAATAGGTCGCGACACACCTTCTACCTAAGATGCATAAATTGACCAAGTTTGATGATTCTAAGTCTTATAGTTTTCTAGTTATGAGCCGGACAGGATTTTTCCATATTTGGCCACAGCATCTTAATTAAAGGTCAGAGTGACCTACTTTCAATGTGCGACACACCTTCTACCCAAGAAGTATCAGCTGACAAAATTTGATAATCCTAGGCCTAATAGTATTAAAGTTATGAGCCGGACACGATAAAAGCTAACAGACGGACGGACATGAACACCATAACATAATACGTCCCGTCTAAAGACGGGCGTATAAAAACTGTTAAAAATCAATTATCTAAAATTGAAATAAAATTTTTTAACCTGTAATTTTTTTAATTGTCTTAAATTTGCTAAATTGAAAATAATTGCTTTAAAAGAGTAAATACGATTGATTTTACTATGCTGTGCAAAGTATTGCACGATGAAAACCCAAGTCGGCCCCTTTAAAGTGATCTAAGGTAAGTTTTGTACTTCATATTTATCTTACACATTCAGTGGTATAACAGTTTTACTGTAATGATTATTTAGGTGATGCCTGATACCAGTTCTTTTGCAGGTAAATGAATTAGAAATCATTTTCTTTATGGTTCCAGTAAAAATTCTGGTAATATATCATTAGTACTCTAGGTAAATTATTTAGCAGTAATTCTCTACCTCTTTGGCTTTTTGTTTTATCTTTTGCTGCTCAGGGTCTTCATTTTTTGACCGACTCTGAAAAACATGAATCACATTATGTGTTACATTAGACATCTAAAAAGTCAAAATGTAGAATTTTCACACTCAAATCAGTTCTCAGAACTCTACAAACCACATAAATTTCAGTTTACCTTCGCCGCCTTCATAATTTTCTCCCACTCCTGATCATCGTGCCGTTTCTTTTCTAGTTTATCAAGTTCCTCGAGAAACTTTAATTGAGATTTGGCATCATTTGAAGCCTCAAACTTATCATTCATCTGGAAAAAAATGTAAAAAAGGTCACTTCTGATGTGAATCCTGTCTACAGAAACCAATTTTGCACTGCTGAATACTAGTTATTAATATAATCTTTTACAGTACAAAGAAAGCATCCAACTCTTTAATCAGTACCTTATATATTTCTATCCTATGTTCAGCTATGGTGTCGAGTTTCTCTAGCAGATCTCTGAGTCGTTCTTGTGTCGCATGTGAGACCAGATTAGCAACATCAGATGAGATGTCATCTAACCCATGCTTCTTGGCTGTTGAAGAAAGACAAGAATTATTATAGACAAATTCTGAAATAAATACAGCTGAAAATTCAGTATCTCAAACATCAATATCTCGAATATAAGGATTTACATGTATCTATGTAAGTTGGAAGTCCCTAACACTTTTTCTTTATGTATTTTCACCCCAATATCTCAATACTTGCTAAGTTTTTTTCTAGAACTAAAGTTCAAAATAACAAGGTTTGACTGTACATGTATAATCAGCTTCAAATTGAAATTGTGAACTGCCCTTAATCATGTTAGATGCTTGAATTAACATGGCACTTAAGTGATCTCATCCCAATTATAGACAAAAAAACTCCCTCAAAAATTTATAGACGGTGATATTACCTATTGCTGTAATTCTACTAAGTAAAGGTCCGTGATGCAGGAAAGCCTCGTCTTTACAAGAACGAATCTGTGTCCCAATGAAGTCAGCATTACTGGCCAAAATGTTCTTACTCTCTTCTGACAGATTGACACCACCCATGGTAGCCACATCATTAATATCATCATCGTCCCTGTAACAAAACAGGTACGATGAACATTTAATTACAATAAACTTCTACAAAGAAAGCTTATCAGCTTTAATTAATTATTCAAATATAAACTTTCAAAATGATTCAATCTACCTTAAAGTAATATCTGTGAAAAGTATTTGTTGAAAAGTTTTCTAATAGATAAGGAAATCTGAACAACGGTGTAACAATATACAATGAAAAGACATGAAAAAATGAAAAAAAATTAACATTAGTGTACATGTATCACGGAAGAAATTTCTCATAAATAATTGTTTATGTGATAAGGTTGCAGACAGATTGGTTACTTCTACTATTAATGTCCTAGTCTCACTTACTTGAGAGAGTCATATTTGGTTTTCTCTTTGTGTGGGGTAGAACTCCGGGAGGGTGCTCCTGCCACACCTGGAAGGTGCTGAGTTTTCCCCGAGATTGCTGTCACAGTTTTAGGAATTCCAATCTATGAATATTTTCAGAGTCATGTCAAATATTCTGCAATATTCAGATGTGAGCCCCCCCCCCCCCCCAAAAAAAAACATTATCCAATTAAACACACAGTGTAACAATAAAAAAAACCCACACAATTAAATAATCTATATAACAAGTTTAATCATGATTTACATCAATGACTCGTTCCATTTATCATTACACTGACACATTTTAATGTACAGGGTTACTAATTTGTGATTTTGTAATTTGTGTGTCTCCAATTCTTTTGATTTAAAATATCCTTTGTATTCATTTGGTTTGCACTCGGTAAGAAGTGTGAGAAATATTGGGTCACTCCAACTCATTTTAACATGGTTCTGACATTAAGCAGTGTGGTTCATAGAGCTTGATCTTATCGATATTTTGAAATATTCTATCTAAAACTACTTCAGAATTTACTATTATTGTTTTTTGGTGTTTTTTAAATAAAACTACATGTAGCTCTGAACTTCTTATCAACTATCTTCACTTGTAACTTAACCTATCAAGTTTCTGAAGAAAGAAAATTGTGAATATGTAAAAACATGCCAGCAGGTTGAAAGAAAGACAACTCTGGACTGAAAACACTGCTTAATAACAAGTCGGCAAAATCATGAGAGCAGCCAGAAAAGCAAGTTGATTTACAATATTTGTTGTTAAACCATACTCACAATTGGTTGGCCTCGCACAGCTGCATGTTGACTGGACGGATGAGGAACTTGAGGGTGGACTAGAGTCGCCATGGATGCCACAGGATGAAGAACCTCCAAGGGAGGGGGCTTGACACCATCTATTGTCATGGTATTGGCAATTAATGCTTGGCGCAAGGCTGGCAGACTTTTCTACAACACATTGAGATTGTTTTTAAAGCTAAGTTTTTGAGTTCTAAATCTATTTTAAAATGAATCTTGCTTTGCAATTTATTTGAACAGGTTTTTGCTTTTCCTTCCCTTGATTTTATCTGAATAAGTCCAATGTACGTCATAAATCTTTTACCTTAAGGAATGGCACTAAATATGGTTGAGGTGATGATCGAAGTTCTATTTGCAACTTCTCTGTGAATGTTTGAGGCTCCACTTTTCCATCCTAAATAAAATCGAAAATGTAGAGTTTTTCCCCATTATACAAACTAGTACTGTCCTAAGAGAATTAAAAAGCATATCTGAAAATTAATATGTAAGAACTCTAAAGTACACTGTATTACCAAAAAAAAAAAATTAATTACATTGTTATCATTTGCATTCCTGAACTTCTCTCAATGCACTTAAAATATACATGTACAACCTTGACATATCAATTGATATTTTTTGCTTCTTGGAGGTATAAAAACAAAGATTGGTAACTATTAACAGCAGAGTAACTCACAATAAGGCCCTGGATCAGTTCTCGAACATTTTTGACAGTTTGTGGAGGTTGACTCTGAGCCAATTTAATGAGAGTAGACAGAAAATTCTTGCATTTTTTGACATTGTCAGGGGGCTGTTGAGGTGCACCTACAAAAGAAAAAAAAAGTTCTTTAACACATGCTCAGACTCTAATTTAAAAGTCATTAAAGTTTTTCAGATGGAATTTCAGATAAAGATCTCTGCCAATAACGACTACAACATTCTACAATAGTGTTTCCTAAATGGTGTTAAAGTGTACATACTTGTTGGCCTCCTACCTGACGCCGTGGAGTGGATGGCAGTCCCAGGAGGGGCAGTGCGGACCAGACTGGGTACAGGGGTGGCTGTAGAGACAGTGCTTAGGTGGACCTGTCGGGGGATTCCCTGCTGTGCAAGGGCTGAGTTAGGAGGCTGAATTGTCACTATCTGTTGAGGGCGACCTGGGCCAGGAGAATTTGAGGGCTACAACAAACAACCACATCAAATACATGCAATGAACATCATTTTGCAAGAAGCATTTCTGTCAAACCCCCCCCCCCCCAAACTTTCCAACGTGGAAAATATTCTATTTTTACACCATTACTATTAATCATGAACAGAAGTGTTGCTTTTTAGACATATATTACATAGTGGTTGATTTAGTATGCATAATTACTATCAAGCATCATTTGTAAAGTATGGGATAAAACACAAAGGTGCAGGTACCTGGGCACAATAAAAATTTTCTCAAGTAATCAAATTCTTTCATACCCATGGAATTAGTTATCTTTAATAAAATTATTTGTCCTGCATATCATTGACATTTAATGGTGTATCTAAAATTTAAAAGCATTTAAAATTAACTAACATAGTAATATACATACATGTATTTGACTACACATATCACTCTTTGTGTATCATATGTACATGTATCATACTTACTCTAACATACATACGGTGCCCCGTTGCACTGGTTGCTGGAGGTTGCTGGATGACAAAAACTAGTTGTCCTTGCTCATTCCGTACAATCTGAGCTCCAGGAGGTATCTGAACACCAGGGGGCAGCGCAATGGTGTTTTGCTACAAAGTGTATTAAAACATTACTATATTCAAGTGGTAAAATTCATACTGAACTTTTCTCCTGAATATAGTTAAGTAAAAAATACACCGTAAGATATAAAACAATGAAAAATACATTTCAAATAATTCATAGCCCTCCCTCCCCCCAACCCAAAGAAAAGGGATATTAAATGGTGTCTGATTATCTATCTATTATTAATAATATATTTTAAAGTATGAAAGACGTTATCTTATTACCAGTTTCAAGAAACTCATTTATCATTGTACTGGAGTTTTCATTATTCTGTTGGTGTTTAAATTTTCAATACTGAAAGCATTAAACTAAGAAATAACTTCCAATCAAGACAGTTGACCAAGTACATTAATTACTTTTGCCTGCACAATGAACAAGTTCCTCAAAATATCAGTAGTGTGTATAGTTATTCCCCTTACATGTGAATTGATATTAGCAGATACAATAGTTCTATAATATAACTTAAACTATACTATATAATCAGCTACAGCTCTAAAGGATAAGATCATATATGTATTTGCAACAGGGATGAACAATTTTGATATATACATATTATACTTAGAAGACCAAACATGCAGAATGCATTAAAAAATTTCTACTTGTCAGACATCTGAAGTTTCAAATATTGCAGCATAAAATTTATAGACTTTATTTCTAAAATAAGACTTCTGTATACTTCACTATAATAATGGAAGAGTATAATTTTTTAATTTATATGAATTTTTCTTTAAATATAAAATTTTTCATAGGATGTCTTTATGTTTATAGTGATATCAAATTAAAATTCAGCAATTGTGATAGATTTTTTTTCAAAATATAATACATGTACATTAATTTGGGAATTTGGCCAATCGATATATGAAAAACAAAATTCTTTTCAATAATGGTCCTAGATCAAAAATAATAATCTTATGATTGATATGTAAACCCCCACCCCTAACCTTTTATTATTACTAAGAGAAATAAATAGCTCCAGGGTAAGAATTCTGCCCATACTAAACATTCACTTGGCATGGAATATCAGAATATTTTGTCTTGATAATTTTTTTTTCACCAATACAATTTAATAAAATAAATAGATTACAAGTCTTATTTATTCTCCTTCTCTAACCAACATGAAGAAACTTTGTCCCTTTCATCCATATACCAGACCAGTGGATAAATGTATTAAAAGTATGTACTATTTTAAGATTACATGTAGAAATTCACTATAGAGGTTGGTGATTGCCCCTTAAAAGCATGTATAAAAAAGCCTAATAATAAGTATTCTTTGTTGTTGAAAAAAAAAATGCACACCGTTGTTCCTGGTCTTGGTGCTATACTAATTTGCTGAGGTCTAAAAGCTGCAGTTGTCATTCGCGGATTAATATTTTTGCCTTGAGTCATTTGAACTGTTCCTGTTGGACGTGTTGCAACAGTGCACCCACTCACAGACACTACATGCATCTGTGAACTAGAAGATTGAGTTGTGATAAGTTGAGGTTGCATAACAACTTGTGATGGATGAGTTTGTCCAGGTGTCCTAACTGTAATCACACTTGGATTTCCTGTAACAACTGGTCCTTTTCCCTGCACTAACTGAACATTTGGTTGAGGCACATTGTGTGGTGCACCAGGCACAGGTTGTATTGCTAAATGGTGCTCCTGCTTAACACCGAATCCTGAGCTTGGAGATCCTGTCTCCTGTTTCACACTTAACACCCCTGTCTGGGGTGAACCAACAGGTTCGTGTTTGATATTCACTATTTGAGTTGGTCCAGGCTTCACATCCTGACTAGAAATTTGGTTTAATGGACTGTTATGTGTAGACCTTATAACAGGTTTATGATCATTTGCATTAAAATTAGCACTATTTGCAGAATTCACATTTGGTAAATTTTGTCCATTGTTTATCACAACTTGATTTGGCGTTGATGAGCGTACATTTGCGACACTGACACTGTTAAGTTGTCCTTGAACTGATGGTGATGGTGAATTACGCGAGTTTGTAATGGTTGGTGATTGAGAAACAATTCTTACATGATTCACAGGCACTGGCGAGTTCCTATTGATATTATTGGCATTAACTGATAAACCACCTCCTTCACTGGAATTCACATTTGACACAATAGAATTTAAACCTAGTAACTGAGAATCAGAGTGAGATGCTTTTAGATGAGATATGTTTGCATTATTTAATGCTACATTATTTTGAATTGTCATATTCTTCGAAGCTGGTGTTGGGATGCTATGTAAATACACAGTTGAAGTACATGCTACCGGAGCATTAGCATTGCTTATATGATTATTGTTCATAGAAGCATCAGAAATAGAATGTGCAGTGTCCTTATGTGTTGTGGAGGCTAGCTGTGACTCCAAAGAACCAACTAGGGCATTAACAGCATTTTCGTCGATTTCTGTTGACAAAATATCGTCGAGACTGTTCGTGGTCGCCATTTCATTCCACAGCACAACTTAAACTGAAGTACGCATGCTCTGTCACAAGAATTATGGGAAGTATTTTTGAAGTTTAGCGCCATCTACCGTCCAATCATAATAGATCGCCATTTTGGATAGAACAGTTCCAGAGAGATAGGCACAAAGCTGAGAATCCACCGCCATCCTCCATAATTTCTGACGCTTTGTCATAAGGCGTCATGAGTGGGGGGATTCCATATCTCGGCAGTAAAATAAGCCTCATTTCGAAGGCAGGAATTCGTTATGAGGGCATTTTATACACTATTGATCCAAATGAGTCGACAGTTGCATTAGCGAAAGGTACGTAAAAGTACCCCGTTCAGTATAGTCAGCATTAGTGTAGCAGCTGACAAATTTTACAATATAGCTCAGTCTCTATTATGTGAAATACTGAATTCATTTCTACTGTCACTGTCTTTGTCAAATCTTGCATCTCTTAAACTGTGACCCAGTATACAAGTCAGCTGTGTTCTGTTATGTCAACAAAGGTGTATAGTGTATCGAAGCTGCAAGTGTGAAATGATAACACTGCATAATTTGCATCCCCTAGGACCAGTAAGTGTCTGACATTTTGCATAACTATGCAATTTATTGAGAATTATTGAATAACATACAATGACCATCATGGTCATAGGGAAGAGACTGCATTCCAAGTAAGCTGTAATTATATGGCCAAGAACTTAACTTTTTCATCTATAGTATTGCATATGATGGTTTTTGACAGTAAATGCACAATGCAGGACATGTGTAATGTGCATGAAAATTGGAGTAATTTCAGGTGGAATATAAATGGTGATGGTCTTCATACCATTGATTACAGTATATTTTGGCCTTTTCATAGATTTTGTTTGCTTTTACCTCAGTTATCTCAAGATAACCCCACATCACAGTTAGAGTATCAGTCTTCGCCAAATCTTTTTTTCAGTACATGCCCTTCGGGCAGGTTTAACCACTTATTACGCTAGCCCGAACAAATATTTACATGTCCAGAATTTTATCAAGTAATTTATTCTTATTTCCCTTTTCATGCCAAGGAAATGATCCGAAATCCATTTCTATCGATCTATTGTCTAGCCATTAATATTATTTTCAGCCTGTACCTTTTTGTGTCTCCTTTGCAAAAGAGTTCCTTGGAAGTCACGTATTGTTTTCAACCTGTATACTTTTTGTGTCTCCTTTGCAAAAGAGTTCCTTGGAAATCACGGTAGAATAAACTATCATTAAAATTTTATTTGGTGCTCCACTTTAGATGAAAAATCAGACTTTTAAGTACATTTAATGTTATTGGTATTATTAGTCCCCTACCAGTGAAACCGGAGGGGACTATAGGTTTCCTCTGAGTCTGTCCGTCCATCTGTCTGTCCCTCTGTCTGTCTGTCAGTCTGTCCCACTTGGTTTTCCGCACTTTTTTCCTAAATGCTTGCAGATATTGAGCTGATTTTTGGTATGTGAGTTTATCTTGATGAGATACAGATCAAGTTTGCATTTCATTCCGCTTCATTGATTTTTGAAGGAATTATGGCATTTTCAATTTTTAACGGGAACCAGATTACACTTGCCGGTAGAGGAGTAGTATTGCTAGTGCAATACTCTCAGAATGCTTGTTTAATTTGATAATATGGAGGCTTAGGCCTCAGAATTTACATGCCCTTCGGGCTTGTAAGTATATATGCAATTTCCACATGCCTGCCTCCAATTTTACCAGGTCCCGGGCTTCGGACTCCCGGGATTTGTCGAAGACTGGAGTATGTCCCATTAACCATATAGTTGCAATGTAACAAAATGGAGCAGATCCTCTCTAGCACGATTTGCCATGGGATATATCGAAAGTAGTTGCATCAAAATTAACTACAAAATTAATCATAAAAAACCTTTTTGAGTTAATGTGTACCTTCTAGCAGAAGAAAAATTCTGTGGAAAGGGGGAAATTTACACATTTTCTAACATTTCTTGCTTTAAATTTATTTGTGATGACAATTGAAACTGAATTTTCTGTAGTATTTGTGTAGATTAGAATTATCTTGCTACTTTGGCAACTCTTTGAAAGAATTAATGTTGCAAACCTATGACAATATCAATCTAGGTACATACAAGCTTGAAAAGAGTTCTCATATTTCATTTGGTGGTTAATTTTCAGTGAAACTTAGTTTGTATTCTTCAAAATCATGCAGGAGTGGATTTGCTCCATTTTTGCTACATTGCAATATGGGACATATTCTAATATGCTCCCACATTAGAGAAAAACATTTAATTTGCATGCAATATTTGCCTGCTATCAAGGGAATAATTGTACAATACTTTGGTTGTATTATAATTGTTCAATTAAAGCAAATAATTATTCTGTCCCGTGCTACCAACTGAAGGATGTTTGTTATATTTTGGCATATGTTAGAAACATGACTATCGCTTCTCCCCACCAAAGTCAGATTTTGCAAAAAGAGGTTGGATTGTTTTAATAAATATAGATTGATTTGTCCCAGTTGGACATAAGACTGCTCATAATATTTGTTGTCCCCAACTTTTGCAAAAGGGAGAGGACATTAAATCTCATTTGTCTGTCAGTCTGTCTGTCACAAAAACTTTGACCTTGGTCATATCTTTTGAATGAGAAAAGATAGGGCTTTCATATTTCATGTATATTTCCAAATAGACAGATTTTTGACACCTTTGACCTTGAAGTACCTACTTTTCAAAAAATTTTAACATTACTTTTATCTTGGTCATAACTTTTGATTGAGAAGAGATAGGGCTTTCATATTTCAAATGTACATTACCCTTGATTACCTGTGACAAGACCTTTCCAAATATACCATGATTTTTTGCCCCGTGACCTTGAAGTTTGACCTAGTTTTAAAAATGTTAACTTTAGTTATAACTTTTGAATGAGAGAAGATGGAGCATTCATATTTGACATGTGCATTACCTGCAGGGTTTTTTTTAGGTCTTAAAAACAAGGGCCTGGGCCTTTCCATTTGGGAAAAATTAGCGACATTTGGTTGAAATTGGGAAAAATGTCATACTTAACATTTTTCTAAATAATGTTAAATAAGAATAACTTCATCAATTGCAAGGCATTTATTAACATGTTTTACATGTACATGAATCATTCTCAGACTCACTACTGTTATTGTTCGGTGGAGGCCGACAATCAGCATCGGAAGTGGTGGGTTGAGTTTCACTTTGGCAGACTTGTTGAAATTTTGAAATCACTGTCAGACATTTAGTCTGACAGAGTCAAATGTTCTGTTGGACCGGACGAAGTTTTGTCAGACCAGATCTTATTTTGACGCTGAGAAAGGAAAATAAATAACAGCACCAAAATGCCCTTTAATATTTTTCAACAGCCTTCAATCTCACAATTTTCTTTTCTTAGGATAGAGAGTCTTTGATAAGAGACATAAATAACATATTTTATGTCTTTCCTGTAACAATTTAAATTGACCATCGTCACTATGCCGCGCACACGGCCATCTCGTCTGACTACGCCGCGCACACGGCCATCTCGTCTGTGTTTGTGACGGAAGAGTCTATTACTTAACTCTACCGTTTGTGACCTTCAGTTACAGATCCCGATCTTTTTTTAAATTTGCGTCACGCTCGATTTTTTCAAACGGTCATTTGGACCGACGTTTTCTTAAAAGATATTAGTCCAGACAATTTTTTACCGGCCTTGCCGACAGGACCGACAGGTTTCGACAAGTCTGCTTTGGCTACTCTGACATTTGGCATCAGAAGTCGTGGTTTGAGTTTCACTTTGAGTATGGTTGGAAAAGTATGTGTAAATCGGTTTAACTTGCTTGGTATCACCTAGTTTAATTTTTTTTTTCTATAATACTTTGAATTGTGTGACATGGTGACAATATGGCGGCCTTTATTTGGAGCATGCGTTTTAGATTTTTTTGAACACCGATCCCGATTACTTTTCACTAACATCGGGATTTTTTTCTGAAATGATAATTATTTTCCTCTTTTGGGAATTTTCTTCGATGAAATTGGGAAAAACACACACTTTTTACCGTTGGGAATGGGGCCGAATACAGGCCCCCTACGACCCCTAAAAAAAACCCTGACCTGTCACAAGACTTTTCCAAACGCCAGCGTGGTGCAGTGATTAGAGCGTCTGCTCTAGAGACGTGGAGTAAGGAGTTGATCCTTATGACGCGGGTTTGAATCCCACTATGGGATATGGAGACCAATCCTTCAGATGAGATTGTATAAACTGAGCTTCCGTGTCGCAGTAGGTGCTGGCACGAAAAAAATCACTGCTCAATGGTCCTGAGTGCCGAGTATAGGTAAAAATTTGCAACTCTCCACCATCAAGTGGTGGCGTCTCCATAGGAGTGAAAAATTCTCGAGAGGGACGTTAAACAACAAACAAACAAACAAAAAATTTTCCAAACATGCTACAGTTTTTGACCCTTGACCATGAGGTTTGACATAATTTAAAAAGAAATTAACATTGGTGATAACATTTCAATGGCAGAAGATAGTGCATTCATATTTGACAAGTGCATTTTCTGTGACAAGAAGTGTTAAAATGTGCTATATTTGACCTTGAAGTTTGACCTAATTTTCAAAAATTTTAATATTGGTAATAACATTTGAATGACAGAAGATAGGGCATTCATATTTGTGTACTATCTGTTTAAAGACCTTTCCAAATGTACTCTGGGTTTTGATGTGTCCTTGACCTCTAAGTTTAACCTACAGTGTTTTTCATATTTTTTTCACATAGGTAAGAACTTTTAGAGAAGATAAGGCTTTAATATTTTACATGTACATTACTTACGACAACACTTTACCGAAAGCTATATCATTTTTGACTTCATGACCTTGATCTAGAAGTTTGAAGGGCACACAAACAAGACAGTTACAATATGCCATAAATAATTGTGTCCCAACCACTAAGACACCAAAAGCGGGGGACCACAATTCTTTGAATTTGCTTGTTGCATTTCAGGCCAAAAAAAATAATAGTCTTGTTTCCTGCTACCAGCCTGAAAAAAATAGGGTATGTAGGTAGGAAAATTATTTTATTTTATATTTTTATTTTATTTTGTGTCCGACATTTTTTGGATATGAACTAATAAAAGATAAAATTAAACATGTCACAGGTCAATATTGTCTTTCAAAATCAAATTTCAGGTCTTTTTATGCACAACTCAAGTGGTATTTTATCATGTTTATGAAAGCTATTCTATATTTAAAACAAGAATTTCATGAAATGCTTGTTTTGTGTTAACACGGCCGGCCGGAAAACGATTACGGTGACAGAAGGATGAAATTCTGGAAATTCTTGATTTTTTTTCTTCCAAAACTTAAAAAAAACTTTAGGGTCGGTTGCAAAAAAATAGGGTAGGTCAGGTAGCAGGAAACAAGACTGTTATTTCTTTTGGCCTCATGTAGATAGTAGGACATAAATTGCTTGTCATGTCTCGTCTTCTATGCCCGTGTCCACATTAGTGATGGGACATTGGTTAATTTTCATAATCGATCATCGGTTGGAATGGGTTACTGCTTCCGATGCGATTTTACCGATTATAATTGGATTTCATAGCTTTGTATACAAAAAGCAGACCATTACAATTATTTCATATCATTTCTTTAACATGAATATATAAAATATATAATATATTATTTTCTTTGTTGTTTTGCTTCTTTTACACTTTCTAGGCCTAAAAAAAATTGTTTGTTACCTGTAACATTCCCAAAAAATCAAGGGTCGGTAGGTGGGGATTTTTATTATTATTATTTTTTTTTGGCTTATATAGATAATGGGGTCAAACATCCCGGGACTGAATTATCCAGTTGTTATACAGTGGACACCCAACATGGCTGCCTAGCGGCAGAAAATGAACTTCAAAAAGTTGGGGAGGGGGAGGGGGGGGGGGAATTGATTACTCTTTATATTTAAGGTAAATGTTGACTAAGTTGCATATTTTATGTCTCAAATAAAAGATACAATTAATATTTTTTTGATAAAAAGAATCAGCTGATTGATCAAACCAAAGAGCAAACACAGATTTGGCAGAAAAAAATCCACCCGGGGGTAAAATGAATGGGTCAGTTGGGTTACAGGAAACAAACAATTTTTTTTTAGGCCCTAAATATGCACCTTTCAGTTCTAAATCACCTCTGCTTCGTGCTAGTTGGCTAGTATCATATGCAGACGCCATTTTCTTTCATTAAGAAGAAATAAATTTTAAACCAGAAATGGATAATTCCGGAATGTATTGTATTAGAAGTATGTTTCCGATGATCGATTATGAAAAATTATAAACGATCATTGGAATTGGTAGCATTTTTTCGTCGACAATCGATGTTTTCTGATTATCGGTACAACACTAGTCCACATTTGTGTGTTTTATCTCAGTTTGAAAGAAATTGTAGAATTTATTGATATTTTACAATTAACTTTAGTGATGGCAATTCATGTTTGTCAAATTTTCTAACCTTGTCCTTCCCTATAACCTTGAGATGTCTTTTTCCTGATTCTACTTGTCTTCCTGATTTTGGTAAAGGATTACCCTTTATAAATAAGTTATGATTCCATAAACTTGTATACTCTTTGAGAGCATTTGAATCAAACAGAAAATTTCTGATTTTAAGTTTACATTTTATGAGTTTGTAGAAAGTTCATTATGGCTTAGACATTTAGGCATTGAACCAAGGTAGGGTGAATGAACACTCTGTACATACCATGCTATAAAAAGCAACAGTTGTAACTAAGGAAGTATCAATTCTGTTTATTGAAAAGGGAATTTTTTCTTTCATCATATTTTACTATTGGCTTAAACTGATTGAATGCAATTCTTATTATGTTGTATTGCAAGTTACCATTAGGTTGGGCATTCATATTCTCTAGAAATATTTTTCTAGTTTATTCCAAACATGCAGTATCAGTTAGTAAACATGACGTCATTGATTTTTTTCCCCATCTGGTACAAATATGTTTTTGTATTTCAAATTTATTCATATTTTAGTGAGATCATTTGGAACAGAGGACAGGCCAACAGATCGTCCTGTGGCTCCGCGTGATGAGATATTTGAATATATCATATTTAGAGGCAGTGACATCAAAGACCTTCATGTCTGTGAGCCCCCAAAAGCACAACCTTTGCAAGCATCTATGCCACCGCAAGATCCTGCCATAGTTAAGGTAAAACAAATGAAAAACCCTTGATAAAAGACATAAATGGCTATTTTTCTATGATTTCAATCTTGCTTTTCATTAATCTAGCTTAACTTTTGTTTTCTCTGCCTAGTCCTCCCAGCCAACCTCATCGGGGTTTCAACAGCAGAGTGGTGGCGGTGGTGGTTTTGGAGGATCCAGCTACCAACCATTTGGTGGTCCCCAGTTATATAGTCAGTATGGTCAAGCACCAGGAACAGCTCCCCAGCCTTTTGGAGCTATCCCAAATCAGTCAGGTACAGAAGTATTCTATTGAATTACCTCCCTTTTAGATTTTTTTTTATAATTGATAGTGATGGTGAAATGTACTTGGGAGAAAGGTGTTTTAAACAAATGCTGAATTTGTGAAAGCAGGTTCACGAGGTCCATCTCCCAGTTTTAACCGTGCTTCTCCTACGGTGGATCAGAGTATTCAAGTGGGTTCTCAACAAGCTATACGACGCCCTGGTGGGTAGCACATGGCATTCCACTTCCAGCTTTGCATGTAACTGAATACTTGCACTAAGTTGTGACATCAACATGTCCACCACATAGCATCACTAATCCTAACAAATTTTGTGCAGATTAAACATTTTTTTCATATATAAAGTACATTTTGTACATGTTTCATCAGCTTCCAGTATTCTAAAGCCTGTATATCATTTCTTTGTCTTTTTCCCTATGATGTACATGTACAATCTGCGAGGAATCCATGTTGCATACCAGTGATCATGTAATGTCTGTCAATTTATTGACATATAAGTTTCAAGTATCCCTTATTTCAGTAAGTTGCTGTTCTGTAGATGGATTCTGCTAGTCTGTAATCCTTCGCATTGAATACGTACTCAGTGTTTGCTTTTTCCATTCATTGGGCTTTTTGAATGAAGGTTAGCTAGGCCTATTTATCTGGAAGTGCTAAACAGTGTATGAAAAATTTCCGGGGATCATTTCTCATGAGCTTTGCGGTTGCAGAGTTTTACCTTGTATATTTTGTCTAAAATACTTCTCTTGAAATCTACCTTCTCTCGGTTCAGATTTTGTTTATAAATTAATATTTGTATTTGATTTAATTTGTTAATGTTAATTTTTGGTGAAGGTAAACTTGATTATTATTTACAACTGCATGGATATTAATGATTGTTTATTTCACTTGTTCACTAATTTACAGAAAAGCATGAGTTGGAAGACCATGACAGTTTTGGTCTTGACTTAGAAGGTTTGTTGATAATCATTGTATCTATACTTTTGTTTGACTGATGATTTCATTACTGATATAAGTAAGGTCTTACCTTTTTTAGCTCACCTGAGCCAGAGACTTGGGCAAACTTTTCTGATCAAGAATTGTCTGGTGTATGTAGGGGTGCAGCGATACACTAACCTCATGATACGATACGTATCACGGTATTCAGTTCACGATACGATACATATCACGATACATAACAAGGTTAAAAATCTTTCAAGTTTGTCATCATATTTTTTTCAAACTTGACAGGGTTATACAAAATGTTCATATTTTTTAATAATAATTAAAATAACATTTTGTTAACTTGAATTGGATTGTTAGGTAGATCTTTGAGTTGTGTCAACATTCTAAACCAATGATGAACATTTACAGGAAAGTGAGGGAACTACGGGGACCTTTCCTAATAATCTTCCTTTTAAATTGGAATGAAAAAGGAAGACATTCTTTTATTCCTTTTATTTACGTAGAAAATCAATTGTCATATTACTCGTGTTAATATGTTTTAGTCAACAAGACAGCGAATTTTCATCGAAATACACATGTGATGGAATATCGTGTATTATCAAAGAATACGTTTAGACCTAAAGGGTTTATCATTTGTCTTAACATCTATAACTTATAATCACATTAAGTCCCTCTCCGTGTTAAATCTGAGGTCTGAAAGATGCTGGAGATGAGTTTAACTGCCGTAAATGCGTTATCGGCGACCTCACGTTTTGCGCGGAAGCCGTTTTGAAATAGTAAAGAAGGAAATAAAACGGACAAAACGGATAATTCTGGACCGATTGAACCGAACTGCGATATCAGTTTAGAGTATCGTGAATTGAACCGAGGAAAAATATACCACGATATACTGTCAAACGGTTTATCGTTGCACCCTTAGGTGTATGTATTTCCTATATACGAACTTTTCACATTTTCTTCTTGTTTTTGAGAATCTTTGTGCCAAATTCAAATAAACTTGTCACAAAACCGTGATGCAGATTCAATTTGTCCAAACAGAGGGCCACTATCTTTTTCAAGGAGGGATAATTCAGAAATTTGGAAAATTGAATGGGGTCTGTTAAAAGTCTTTCTTTTTTTCCTCCAAGAACAACTAAGTCAGAAAAGACAAAACTTAAGTCCAAATGAAGGTTCATACAAATCTTCGCATAGCTTGATCCCAGGTGCTAAGAATTGGCCATAGTAGTCAATGTTTTACATTGGAATATATGGAAAAATTATTTATAAATTTTCTTTTCAAGAAAAGTAGGGTCACATTTGGTAGTGAAATGTCGAGGTTATTTAAACATGGAACCTGGGGCAAGGGTTGGCCATAATAGGGAAAAAATTTATATAAGAAGAAAAGGGATTGTTTAAAGAACACCTAATCATAGTCATTTTTATCTACAAAAAATTTGATTTTGGAAGAATCATGTTTCTTGAAATGATAATGACGAGTTGTTGGACTCGGATGGGTCACAAAAGGGGGTCAAACTTTTGATATACACCTGAAAATGGAGGACAAATCTTAAAAATGTTCTTCTAAAGAGGGGGAGGGGCCACAATTAGTCATTTATGTACAAGTATTCCAGTGTAGTGTTTTCTCAAGTATGCCTTAAAAACTGAAATTATTTGTCTGTGACACTTGCTTTACTATAGATTGGGGCCAAACTTTGGGAACAAGTTTAATGCAAAATAGTCATCAACATGAAAAGGCTTTAAATAGTAAAGTTGACACCAAGCCTCACTATAGCGACTATACTATGAGTAAAAATTGTTGAAAACATGGATTTTAATTTGGATGTGACAATTGCATATTTTTTTTTTGTCCAGAAAAGAATGTTGACTCAGATGAGCATTGTAGCCCATGAGCCTCTTGTTTCTATAGATTAAATTTTATACATGTACATTACAAATATATAATCGGCTTAAACAAGATGTTTGAATTTAAAATACTATTTATTTGAAAGACACAGAGTTGACAAGTTAGTTTCTCTTCATTTTCAGGATCAAGAGGTCCAACTCCTCCAAGTGTTCAGTCCAGTCGCAAATCTCCAACCCTTGATCAGGGCACTCAGGTAAAAGAGAATAGCATATATACTTAAGTAAAACTTGTAAAACCAATGCTTGTGGTTCGAAGGTGATTTTAAGATGGTAGAACCTTTCCCATTAATCATTAAACTAAAAATACATACCTCTAGTGTGATGATGTTCCATTGATCGAATGAGGATGAAGATCAGTTTGAATGTATGCAGAAATTGAGTACTCAACTTGAGTTAACTAAAGAGATTTATTACCTCCAATAAATTTAATGTATTAAACCTTTCATTAGCATGTGTTTAGTTTCAACCAAACCACTTTAGTCTTAAGACTGCCATATGAACTACAAACATTGTATAATATATAAATATTGCATGAATTTGAGGATTTTTCAACCTGTGCTTGTGTTGAACAATGGTTTCATTGTTCACATTGATGTTAAAAGGGTTCTGGTCATATTTGGAAAGCCCCAAATACATGTAAGATAGGCTATCTTAAAAGGGATGTAAAATATGATTTGGAACTGGGTTTGCATATCAACAATCTTTTCACATATACAAATTAAAGTTGCTTATTCCCTGTAAATATTAGAATGTATATCAAGCATAGAAATTCTTATCTAATTTTCCTTGTTTTCAGATGAGTCCAGAGAAATCACAGAAAAATTCACACCAGCACAGTTCACAAAATGCACAGAGCAGCAGTCAGCATCCAATGGGTGATAGGTCACGGAAACACCAACAACAACGGCCTCAGTCCTCCAACACATACTCCAGGGGAGGAAGGGGAGGATTTGAGAGGGGTGGCCCAAGGGGTGGAAGAGGAGCACCTCCAGATAAACATGCATATTTTGGTAATTTGAAACATTTATTATGCCCCGCCATGAATATGGCCGGGGCATATAGTGTTTGTCATGTCCGTCTTCCGTCCTTCCGTCCTTCTGTCCTTCCGTCTGTCCTTCCGTCACACTTTGCGTTTAGCTCTGTTCAAAGCTCAGTTTCAAAGAAACTATCCAAGATATTTTTATCAAACTTCATATGCTGATAGATATTGATGAGAGCTATGCAACTGCATCAACATTTTTTGACCTTGACCTTTCCTTTGACCTTGATCTCACTTTTCTTAAATAAGTGTTTAGCTCAGTTTTAAAGATATCATTCAAGATAGTGTAATCAAACTTCATATGTTGATACATACTGATGTAAACTATTCAACTGCATCAACATTTTTTGACCTTGACCTTTCTTTTGACCTTGACCTCACTTTTCCTAAATTAGTATTTAGCTCAGTTTTAAAGATACCATTCAAGATAGTGTAATCAAACTTCATATGTTGATACATACTGATGTAAGCTATTCAACTGCATCAACATTTTTGACCTTGACCTTTCTTTTGACCTTGACCTCACTTTTCTTAAATTAGTGTCAAACTTCATATGCTGATGCATACTGATGAGAGCTATTCAACTGCATCAATATTTTTGACCTTGACCTTTCCTTTGACCTTGACCTCACTTTTCTTAAATAAGTGTTTAGCTCAGTTTTACCATTCAAGATAGTGTTATCAAACTTCATATGCTGATACATACTGATGAGAGCTATTCAACTGCAGCATCATTTTTTGACCTTGACCTTTTTCTTTGACCTTGACCTCACTTTTCTTAAATTAGTGTCAAACTGCATATGCTGATACATACTGATGAAAGCTATTCAACTGCATCAATATTTTTTGACCTTGACCTTTCCTTTGACCTTGACCTCACTTTTCTTAAATTATTTTTTAGCTCAGTTTTAAAGAAACCATTCCTAATATTTTTATCAAACTTCATATGCTAATACATACTGATGTAACATTTTCAACTGCATCAACAATTTTTGTCCTTGACCTTTCCTTTCACCTTGACCTCACTTTTCTTAAATTAGTGTCAAACTTTATATGCTGATACATACTGATGTAAGCTATTCAACTGCATCAATATTTTTTCACCTTGACCTTTCCTTTGACCTTGACCTCACTTTTCTCAATTTGTGTTAAAATGTTGTGTTACTAATATACACTCGGCGGGGCATTCATGTCCTATGGACATATTTCTAGTTGAGAGGATATTTTATGTCTTCATGCCCAGTCTATGCAAAAGTTTTCTGGGTCACTTCAGGCATTTGGTCCTGTGTAATCAATGTACACTTAGGACCAAATCAAATTCTCTAAAATCAAAGACTCAAAAACACACATTTTTGAAAAAGGAAATGAAAATGTAGAAGGAAGGAAATTTGGATTCATATATCTTGGGTCTCCAGCCTTCTATGGGGTTCTTTTTTATTCATACACATCCGGGGATTGCCACTTGAAATATTTGAGTTGATCCATGCGGTTTTAGTCGTATTCATTTACAAACTTGATTTGGAGCATTATTTCTAATAAGAAGAAACTTAGATGATGCATCGAAATAATAAAATTTTAAAATTGAGCACCAGACATTCCTGTCAGGTGTAAAGATAAACACATCTCTCCTCAGTTAATACACATTTGTTATATGTAAGACATTATTTATCCCCTTAGTTTGAATTTGTCTATCTTTTTATAAAGTGAGTTAAAAAAAAAGGAAGATGCTGAAAATTCGAAGTGTAATTAGTTTATCTGAGACAACACATTTGACATACATGTACAACGTACATGTATGTTACTTTGTGATGTCCATTTCTCAGACATAAATTACCATAAAACAAAAACTGCTTCAGTAGAAGTGAAATAAAAAGTCAAAATTTGTGTAAGATGTGTCCTTTATTATGCTAATATTTAATATAAATAGTAATATGCTTATACATTATATATCACAGGAGGACCACCAAGGGGAAATGCCTCACAAAGGGGACCCAACAGGGGTTTCCAGAGGGGACAGTCATCACGAGGCAGGTATCAGTCAAATAGGAAAGTGGAATCTCCCCTCAAATTTGAGGGCGAGTTTGACTTTGAAGAGGCAAATGCTCAGTTTGATAAGGATGAGATTGAGAGGGAATTAAAGGAGAAATTAACAATAGGTGAGTCACATTTCCAATGATTTTCAAATGCATGTACATGGCTTGGAGAAGTTCAGACATGTTTACTTGTGCAGATTTTCTGTATTTTACATTCAAATTAAGCACTGAACTAGTAACATGATGATTGAATTTTGAGTATCCAAGCACAAAATTTAGATAATTGGTTGAAATGATCTGTCTTCTCTAGGCATTGAAAAAAAGCTGTAAAAATCTTTTCTGATTGAAAGGTTGACACTAAATTATGCAAGGCAGTTTTTCAGATTTTTTACATGTACCATTTAATTTTAATTTTTAAAAAAAATTAGTGTACTGAACTTCCAAGAAATAGTAGTCTGATAAATACTGGTTTTACTACATAAAGCATGATTTAATTTGAAGTGTGCTCAAACTACATGTTTACATGTACAGTGGCGCCGCGTTTATCCGGACGCCATTTATCTGGACGCTTCACCATCCGGATGATATTTTTTGGGAACCGATTTTTTTCCACGTTATTTTGTCTCATTAATCCGGAAATTCGCGTTCCGTATCCGGACGGTCAATTTCTACTACAAAACATAATATTTCATTGAAAAATGACTCGTTTATCCGGACGGTAATTTTTCAAGAAACGACTTTTTCACACTTATCTTGCATTCGTGTTAATTGTTGTAAAAACATTTGCCATGCAGTCAGTTTGAAGGCGGTTACCTGTGACCTACAAACAAAAGCATCTATAATTAGCGTGTGTTTACCCCAATTCAATCACACGTTTATCTTTAGTATGAAGCAAAGAATTTAGCTTATACTGTGCATTAATTAAATAATAATCCGTTCAAATTCATATTGCTAACCGTATATACATCGGTAAATTGATGAGAATTTTGGAGAGTTGTAAATAAAATGAGCAATAAATAACGATCTACCGATTTCGTAATGCTCTTTATCATGTCGATTGTAGTTTAAAATACGAATCTATTGCTAAAAACGTTAATCTATTTCAAATGCTTTTTTCCCACAAGACAGTTTACAAAGGTACATATTTGAAGAAACATCTCTATTTAATGTACTACCGTTTACAAACGTCCATTACTTTAGAAAAGATATATAAAACTGGCGTTACATACATAAGTTGATTACGTTTTTCAAGGTATTTTTAATGATTGGAATTCAAACTTTTTTCTTTAATCAATTACTGCTTTTAAAACAATAAACCAAAATATAATTTAAAAGTTTTTTTTTTCTTTGCTGTCACATTTTAAAGAAGAATGTGCATATATACATGCTTAAAGAGTGTTTTTTTGAGATGTGATTCAATTATCCAGACGATTCATTTATCCGGACGATTTCGTTGGGGACAGAGACGTCCGGATAAACGAGGCGCCACTGTATATGTACACTGAAATAAATTTTGGAACTTAAAGATATTTTCTCTGTGATACTGCTGTAGAGCTACATTTTGATTTAAATACACCAAGATTCTTAACCTTAAATTGGGGGGGGGGGGGGGGTTTACACGTGATACAGTATCCTAGATTTAGTTTATTAGATCTTTTTTATATGCAAAGGAAGACCACAGATTAATTTCTTGCCAGTGTTGTTAATCATTCTTATTGATAGCACTGCAGAGAATAATATAGTGATGTATTACAGGTGAAAAGAAGGATGAGAAGTCCGTCAATGGGGACAAGGAAGATAGTGTGGAAAATGGAGAGGATGAGGTTCCCGAAGAAGAGGATGAGATGTATTATGATAAGAACAAATCTTTTTTTGACAACATTAGTTGTGAAGCAACAGAGCGTGCCAAAGGGTGAGCGAAAATCTTTGTAGCACTTCAAAAACTTGCTGAAAAACCTGGCAGGCATTAAATACACATTATTAGAATTTATATTTACATGATTTTACTAAAAATTCTATCAAAAAAATCTCTTCTGTAGTTTGCCGGCTGGCTTGCTTTTGGCCAAAATGGTATAGGTATTTGGTAGGTTTTATTTCCGAAATAACTTACCGTATTTGGCTGAATATAATACGCACTTTTTTCCCAAAATAATTTTCTGTGAGAAAGGGGTGCGTATTTTACACCACAATGGGATTTTGATAGGTTTTTCTTTCATGTGAAACACGGCTATCATACGCACATACCGTAGTATTACCTAGAGACTTGTGCAATTTCTTGCTGTTTATCGCCATATTTAAAACTTCGGAAAGTTATTGTTAGAATGTAGACTTGTTAAAAATGTTATATTTATAACCTTTTGATAGTTAAATTAAATTTAAAAGCAAGTTAAAATTAATTTGAGCTGCATGTTCATCGTCTCCGTGTAGGCCGCCATTAACGATGTTATTTATAGATGTTCACACATTCCTTTGCCACGTGCTTCCGTAATCATAGTACACATGTACCTTATCAGTCAGACACTCGATCAAAAAAGTAATAAGTCATTTTTTAATGAAATACAATAAAATAAAATTTTATTTTAGGTTTTAAATAACTCAGTGAAAATTCATTTCAACATAAACACCCCTCTATACGTCCCAATGAATGGAAGCCAATGTTGTGAACACGTGCGCTTGTCACATGATAATTACCCCTCAACACCCCTCCAGGCAATTCAATTGTTTACCGACTCCAAAGCATTGTTTTTACAGTTAGAGCACTGATTTTAATGGCTTTGATTATTTTCTTTGTTAAAAATCGGGGGTTGGTTTATGATCTTTCGTATGTATAAGCGTGTGTTGATTACGACACATTAAACAGTTAAACGCTTGTTAAATGTAATTTTACATCTTATATCGGCCTCGTGTTAAAATGTTTGAGAGTTAAAAAAGGAAATATGAAGTATGTTGAAGCTTAAGCTTATCATTTACTCGTGCTCTGAAGAAAATAAGATATCCACGAAGATTACCTCGATGTATGAAGACATATATCCCACCTTTGTACATCATTTTTCACAGCTTCGGAGGTGTGTTGATAACTACACTTTATACGCGTGTTAAATTTTGATTTTATTTTTATAACATCAGCTATTTATTTAATTAATTTCAAGTTCAAAAGAAGAAAATCGTAGTCTTTGAATACTTTGATGTTACAATATCGCTTGCCCTGTTATATTTACATAATTTTCAACATGATTACCTTAAACTAAAAATAAATATGACAACTGTTAAACTTGCAACAATATCTCGTGCTTTGTTGAAATAAAATTATTTCCACAAAGAATAGTTAGAATACGGCGACGTATAATTTCAATATCACCGTTTGCTAAAAGAAAAAAATTAATAATAAACTCTGTTAATACTTTAATGCAACATTATCTTGTGCTTTGTTAAAATAAATAATTTCCTCCAGATTGCCGCGATATGGAAAGTCAAGATTAAAAAATAAAAACGCATTTGAATAAAATATCGTGTTCTGTAATCTTTATCTCCGCGCCGATTTTCATAGCAAATTACCACGATTTTCAAAAGTTCAGAATACCGCTTGGTAAAATTTTCTGCTGCGTATAATACAACCAAACTGCGTTTTTTCCCCCCAGTTTCAGGCTCAAAAAGGGGGGTGCGTATTTTACACCAATGCGTATTATATTCGGCCAAATATGGTAAGCTTACTAGTATATCAGCATTATTTTAAGCATGCTTATAGTAATGATACAAATGAAACTTAAACATGAAAGAACAAACTTTTCATTTGGATATTCTATGAATCCATGTGTTCATTACTGTTGTTATACTTATTCATGTCAGATATTTAGCACAAAAAAGAGTAATAGAAAGGTAATACACAACTTTCTTTCCTTAATGATTCAGAAAGTCAACCCGCCCAAGTTGGAGAGAAGAACGCAAGTTAAATGTTGAGACATTTGGTATGTCAGATAATCCTCGTCGTAACTTTAGAGGAAGAGGAAGGGGATACTATGGAGGGTTCAGAGGGAACAGAGGAGGAGGTGGTGGGTTCAGAAATGACGGATATCGGTCTGATAACTATCGAGGCAATTACAACAGAGGATTCCGGGGTAAGTTACTTTGTTTTTTGGAAATTGTTTAGTAAAACCGAAGTTTGATAGAACTGAAAAGAGTCACAGATTTAAATGCATCAGTGTGAAACATTTGTTTGGTGCATTTTAGCTCACCTGTGTCAGGTGACCTTTTTCTGATTGAGAATTTGTTCATATCAGGCCCCTTGGTCAAGGATGGAGTCACAAAATGGGGATCAAACTATAATATGGAATAAACATGTAAAGGAAAATCATAATAACACCCCACCCCCACCCCCCAATTTGTTCAGATCATGGTCTTGGGGCTGGTAAGGGGTTACTAAAAGAGACTAAAGCTCAACAATAAATATAATTTGGGAAAAAACAAAATCTTCTCAAGTACAACAGGTTCAAAGTTAATCACTTAGCATTGTAGCCCATTAGTCTTTTGTATTTTTATACACCTATTGCAACATTTTTTCTTTTTTTTGGTATTTCCTAAAACAACCAAGAAAATTCCAACCTCCCTTCAAAAGCACTTCAGCATAAAATTTAAATGTTTCCAGTTCATCAGTAGGGCTGTCACGGTTCCAAAATTTTTCGGGTCGGTTCTGTAAATTTTCGGTTCAGTTTCGAGTTTTTCGGGTTGGTTATTTACATCTATTTTAAACCTTAATTTCATGAATTTAACTTGAAAAATCTTTATTTGTTACATTAAATTTACATTGAAAACAAATCATAACCATGCGAATGTCTAGACATCGGTGACTTGGCCTTGTATTAGCCACAACCTGACCATTCCTACTCGTTTTGATAATTATCTAATACTTCCGTGACAAGTGTTCTGTCATGGAATGAAGTAGATTTCAATTGTGATGTTTATTTATCACTGTTATCGTCATCATTCCTTTGATTTCGACGCCATTTTTTGATTGAACAGACTCTAATATATAAACCAGACCCGAACCGAAATCCGGAAAAATGGAACCAGAACCGAACTGAACAACTTGGACCGTGGTTCTCGGTTATTTCGGGTTCTCGTGTCAGCCCTATTCATCAGTAATCCTTAGCCTTAAAAAATAAAAATGGAAACATTATGCAATGATGGATTAAAAAGAAGGGGGCAGGGGAATTGGAAGGTGCCTCAGTAAAATGACATTTAAATTACCCTTTTTTTAAGAGATGTTTTCAGGTCTGAGTTGGACCATCTTCACTAACCAAGGGTGATGATCTTCTCCTCTTCACAGGGTGAAAAGAAGAGTGGATCATCTCCCTTGGCTTGCAAAGATGGAGTTGGACAAACTTTTTTTAGTTGAAAAAGGAAGTAACTTTGAATATTTATATAGATAGAAATCATACAAAACTAATTTGTTTCATGGTGCAACCGTTTGGGTGAGCACAGTTTTATTTACATATATAATACTGAATACCACCAAAAAAGTTTAATCATTACATAGCTTACACTTCTAACTTTGATCCGCCTAGTCCAACCTCACAAGACTCAATCTAGACTATGATGATTTTAGTTGCACTTCCATTAAGGATCTAAACGGTGCAATTTTTTGAATAAAAGGCATCATTTATTTTTTAAAAAATATTCTGCAAGAATCAACTTTGATAACTGCAGTAGGGCTGGGACGATACACCCTTTTCTATATCGATACGTATCACGATATTTGAGCCACGATACAATATGTATCAAGATATGTTGAATTGGTTATAAAATGTTTTTTTGTAGTGAAATGAACGAAACATTTCTTCACAAATAAGAATAATTTATTCAAAGAAGTTGTATATCTGTTGTAAAACAAAGTCATTTTACCCAAGTGGTATTAGTTATTATGTATTTCATATTTATATTTAGCATATCTATTTTATATATTTGACCCAAAATGTTAAGAAAAAGGAGAAAAACACAAGTCAGATTTTTTTTGCGATGTTTCAATATTTTTCATACGTATCGATATGCGTATCATCCTCACATTGATTCGATATCTCAATATATCGTCCCAGCCCTAAACTGCAGTACTGCTATTCACCATTGTCACATGATATCATGGTAGAAAAAAAATTCTGGTGGGAAAGTTTCACATAAAAATTTGCTTGATGAATGTGCAGATTCATTCTGAATTTCTTCTTTTCTTATGTGTTAGTCTGTAAAGCTTCCTTTGTGAGCAGCACTTGCTAAAAATGTTTTAATAGTTTTGTATGAACACATTGCACTTACTTTTGATCACCAGAATTGCTTCTGTTCTCTGGTAATGAATGTTATTTACTGTATTTTAGGAGGTTATCGACCACCATCTGGTAGGGGTGGATCTGGTGGTGGCGGTGGTGGACGAAATCAAGGATGGGTGGACTACGATTATGATTATGAAGCAGCGGGTATAGAGAGAAGAGGAAACAGTTACAAAGTTAGTGTCCATTCAGAAAAGCTTGTACATATAGAGCTACTGTAAACAAAACTGGGACTGAAAGAGTAAAGTGTGGTATGGGCTTTATAAGGCCTTCCACTTCAGATGAAATTCAAAATAAGGAATGCTCATACACATAGTTTGAAATTGTAAATTATACATGTAATATAAAAAATAAAGAATCAAGTATGAAAATTGAGGGCCTACTACTGTAGGCTACTTCAAGTAACAGTTGCAACAACTACTCTAAGTATATACAGAGGTAATATAATATTTTTAAAATGTTTCAACATTTATCTTTAAAAAAAACGCAAAATTTTATTTCTGATTAATATTTTAAATATCAGATGTTGGATTAAGCTACAGTTACTTCCTACATTTACATGTAAGGAGGATTTTAATGTCTCCTTATATACTTCTGTATTTCAGAAAGCAGCAGCACAGTCATAGAGAAAATTGAAAATATGGGTAGAGTGTGAGAAGTAGGGGTCACAAGAAGGCAGCTGACAACAATTAGACATTGGATAAGGACAGACTTGTGGAAGATGGTGTTTTCATGTACTGTCAATTTTGTGAATTTCCAAAGAGAATCCCCTTTTGAAAACTTTGTGATATTTTTTTCTGGATTTTCTTTTTTTTTTCTTCAAAATTTTGTAACTATTGTCACCTGAAGAAGCAATTTAGTAAGAGTGACAAACAGTTGCAATCTGTGGACTTAGTGCTAGCTAACCAAATGGCGCTATAAAATGTGTTAAGCTTCCAGAAAAGACTTGAATGGACAGTATGCAACAGTTGCACACACTGCTGTGTATACACATGGTTTGTGTGGTTAATGGAAATATTTGCATTGTTAGAAAACATGCTTGGGGCTTAAACATGTTTTTCTGTTCTGCACGAGGAGGGCTGGTACATGTATTGCTGGTGGTCTTGTTACCAAGTACTCTAAAATCTACTTTTCTAATCTTATTAAAATTTGATGTTCTTCATCCACTATGGCTTATCAAACATCTAACAACAACCCATTCAGGTTTATGTCAGAGTGTCCTTTTGAATAGCCAGTGAAATGGCCGCTACTGAAATCTTGGCTGGTAGTTCCAATATGTGTTTCTTTTGCACAGCTAAATCTAAAAGCCCAGAGAGTTTCGTAGTAAACAAAATTATGGCAAAGGTGATGGTGTGTATGAATGTTACATGGGGGATATCTTGTATAGTTTTTGCATTTTCGTTTAATAATTCAGGAAAGAGTGATGGATGGGCAGACTATACATTAAATTTATGCCACAATTAACTTGAATCAACATAAGACAGAACCATTTAAAAAAGGTGGAAACTGATTGGCCAGAATTTTGGTTTTTATTTGTAATAGAAAGATGCTCTCACGTGAGGCAGAATGGAATGTTGTTAGATGTTTGTGAAGTGGTAGCAGATTCAGAACATTTAATTTTAGTTAGATGGTCTATTTTTAGGATTAAGACAGAACAAAAATTCATGACCTTAATAAGCAGCAGCAAATTAATTATTTGCAAAATTTGGAAAAAGGATTAATGTTACTGAATTTATGTTCACAATTTTGGAGTAAAAATTTTGTGTGAATTTGTAACATTGATAAATTCTACATGATTATCTATTGTACACATTTCAGTTCAAAGTTCAATGAAATTCAACACAGTATGAACAGATTTAAAATACCTGAACTATTTGTAAAATACTTTTCTTTTGTTAACTGTGAAGGCAAAATGTGTAGCAATACCTTTGTTTCTTAATTGATATGATATTAGAAAAAGAAATAGTGCGATCAACATGATCAAAATTTTATCATTGTTGCAATAGTGCTTATCTGATCTACACAGCATTTGCTTGGGTTAATGGTTAAAAAAATCAGTGGTTGTACTGTAAAGTCTTTTGCTTTGTTATTTGCAATTTAAATAGGCAGGGACTATAAATCCGTAATTTACCATTCTCTCTTAAGTAACGAGTAGTATTTTCCCCTCCTTATTTATCAATTGCTTTATATATTTATTGAATCAAACCGTGTCAATGAATTACATACATAGTATTTAAGTCTTTTCATGCTAGCTAAAACCACAATATGTTGAAGGATTAAACTTGTTTTTGCACCAATATCTGACTTAACCATGATGTAAGGACCTTGACAGTCCCTTTTTGATTCTCAAAACAATTCACTTATGACGGTGAAATCCATTCTTTATAATTAATGAATCTGCAGGATGTGATGAATTTGTTAGCCATGGAAATGAGAATTCAAAATAAAGAACAAATGCAATATTTTATGGTGTTATGTGCATTTTTATGGCATCCGAGGGGAGCTAGAAAGCCATACTAGGGATGATATCTCAGATTGGAATTTATTGGAGGCCACTTACCGGTAGAAGTAGAAGATTGCACAGAATCACATACAGATATAATTGACGGAGAAATCACATATTTTCGAGAAAATAAAGACTCATATTTTATTAGTTAGTTGGGGAGAAGGGGGTTGATCGACGCCTTACTTTTTTCCGACGCCTGTACTTAAAATTGGTAATTTTCGAGTTGAAGAGTGCATCTCGACAATCATTTATGATAGGCCGGCATATATAGGCTTAAATGTCCCGCCTGTCGGTTTATGCAGAAAGTAACGAAAGAGCGCAGCAAGGGAGATAATCTCGAAACTTGCGTCTATTTTCTTTCACATAGCTGAGATTGTGGACTCGTGCAAATAGTACCAAATATAATCATCAAAACAATAGGTCTGCTGTTGTTTTGTGTATGACATAGTTGGTCCTATTTGAGTATCAACTAACTTATAATTTACTATTCTTACTTTGAATAAAAAATAGAATCAGACACCAAATTAGCTACCTTTGAATTATTCCGCCAAATGCACTACTTTATGATGTCGTAATGGCGGCTTTTACACATTGACCAATGTCGTATGTTTTGAATTTTATTAATACCACTTGGGTTAACGTAAGTACTGTTGTTAGGGACAGGTAGGAGGAGAAAAATAGTTAGACTTTTATTGGTGAGAACTTCACTAAGGTCATAACACAAGATTTTGCAGGCCTCTATGAATGTTTGCATGCTGTGGCAGTTTTTTGACAAAATTGATAGGCCTCATAGGCTCTAATATTTGTATTCAATGCAAAAATATTAATGACAGAAACAGAACGAAATCAATTGACATAATAATCATTCAAATATTAAGACTGATTTAAAGCATTTTCTGATTGAAATATCTTATTCTTAATTTCATGAATATGGAGTTGTAAACACGAAATGTGTGATTTTCTAGCCGCTGAGAATGAAAAACAATTTTGTTTTGAATATTTTTGGAACTCTTGTAAATTTTAAATAATACTTCAGGTTCTTTTCAAAAAGTTCATCTTACTAGATCTACAATATCCTTGTCAAAACAACACGAGACAATTTACCGGAAGAATATCGTTGTCATGGCGTCTTAGTAACGTCATTGTAAACAAAAGAAGATGAAAAAAAATTAACACGGATTTTTACATAAATACTATCAATGTCGTGTTAAGATGTACAAATTTTTACTCCCCATGTTAATACAAAGTTTGGGAAGTTTCTAGTATGCCGGTCCCCAGAATCACGCGATTGCGCATGAGCAGTTATTTCCCTTGCCGTTGCTATGCAGAATGTAAACAAACCGCCATTTTCCCCTCGCTTCAACAAAACGCATTCGATCGAGTGATTAGGGTTAGGGTATATTGTTTTAAGATTGGAACTGTTTTATAAATCCACTCTTAAATCTTCCTGACTTTGGGCTAATTCATGTAATTTTTGCTTACAAAAGGCACTGCCAAGTGCCTTTTGTGACCAAAAACTTGCATGAATCAGCCTAATGTTGAACAGTGTCGATATACCATCTTATAGGAGTAAAGCATGAAACATGCAAAACTTAAACAGACCGTTAATTAAATATGGCATTGTATGCGATCTACGAATTAGGGTTAGTGTATATATAGCTCGGATATTGTAACTGTTTTATATTCACCCATGCTCGCATCTATACCACTTTGGGCTTATTCATGCAATTTTTGCTTACAAAGAACAGGAAAGTTTTGCGAAACTTGGATGAATTAGCCTTGGTCTAATGTTGAAACATGCCCGATATTGTGCGCTAAGTTTTGGCAAGTAATTGGTAAAAGCGACTTACCGTTTACTTAAGCTCGATATCCTAACCTCCTAATGTCCATATTCAGAATATTTTTTTCTTTCAAATCAATGGTGATGTACAATTCAATCAACCAATTACTAGTAATTAGTTATCACTTGTTAAATCCCTGCATTTCTCACAAAAATCTCGCAATTTTAGTAGCATTTCACTTTGAGTCCTATCAGCTACTTCTTCATCAGTCTTCATTACGTCAAAACACAAGTGACGCACGTCATGAATATTTATGAGATTACGTCAAAAACTGATCATGTGACCACATTCCTAAACAACGCAAAATGGAGTTTTATCTACTAAACAAGTACGTTATTTTACGAAACCTTTTAATTCTCATTTAAAAAACTGTGTTTAAAAACCAGTTTTTTAAACCCAATTTTTCACAAGGAAAACGATTTTTGGCTCAATTTTGCGATTTGTGGCCTTTTTTATCGATTTTGTCGATCGCTCACGCGATCGTATTATATTGTACACCGCCTTCGGCGGCACCTATTTTAGCGCCATTTTTATAGGGACCGGTATACTAGAAGTGTTCCCAAAGTTTTTAGATTAGGAATGATTTTCAAAAAGTGATCTTTTGCTTACTGAAATTTCAACATCAAATTCGACATATTCCGTGTTTTTCCCATGGAACAGATATATGGAATTTTTCAAAGCAATTATTAACGGAATGTTTAAAATGTTTGTAAAAAAGGATTCTCTTAGTTGTATTTGATAAATTTATGTCAAAAGTTAGGTAGAAATTTGTTAGGCTTACACATGAAAAATTCTTAAACATAACGGGGAGATCTTTTGGGCGAATTCAGACATCGTTTTATGAAATTCTATAGGCAAGACATGATGTTTGAATAGTTTCCCTCTATATTCTTAGAGAAGATCTATAGATGGTTCCAACAAACGCATTCATACATGATGCTATAGTGAGGACTTAGCATAATTGATAAAACATTGTAGATCATGAAGCACAAAACCGAACCCCATCTTGTTTTTTTGACGTGAGTACAACGTTTTGGCGCTCTTCGCTCATTGGACAACTCACTTCTTGGAAACCAATCAGCACGAGCAAAAAGCAGCCAATCAACGGCATGCATATTCCCTGGAAAGTATATAAGCACGAGATTTTCAGGACTTGGCATCATTTGCATTCGGCGCATTGTCAAAGCAAGACGCAAAAATGAGAACCTCTATGCTTATTCAATCTTCCACCATTCTTGGCACATTCCTGTCATCAACAGGACGTGCAATGCATATAGACATGTATGAGTAAGTAAATGAAAGTTTATTCGTTAATTTTATAAATTAATTAAGAAAATAACGTCAAATTATTTGTTGCATTGCAAAAAGAGCGTCCATAGCAACGCGTTTTGTGTTTTTTGCAGGTTGGGATGTGATGTGTGGCAGTTAAGTAAGGAGATGAGTGCCACCCTAGGGGTAGGTTATTGAATGTTTATTTGTTTTGTATACTGACAATAAGTCTCTCACATCTCTGGTACTTTCTAACTCTTCCTTTCCCTTCTCTTAGCATGAGCTGCTGTCGCTCGGTGAGAGAGTCAACAGCTTTGCCACAACCACTTCTGCTGCTGCTCTGTCTTTCTTCTCGGCAACAGATCTGCTCTTCTTTCTGGCTTTTCTGCTCTTAGTTACTTCTGTTGTTGGTTCTGTTCAGTTTGTTCAACAGTTCAACACTGCAATGAAAGACCTGAAAAGCAAAATGGCAGGTCTAGCAGAAGGTTAATATTGTTATAAAATTTACTTCGTGTTTTATCTTGTATTTGGTGCTAATATCCTCACCACAAGTGGACGAATTGGTTAATTTGTTTACTGATATTTTCAGAGAATGTGCAGATGAGGCTGGTTTTGAATGCTTTGCTGAACGATGCAGACGAGACAGAGAAGGCATTAGGTTAGTATAACTTTCGCCAAATCTCAATGTGCAAATTGAATTTCCCGTTTCATGAGCTTAAAAGTTATGGGTGGAAATTTATCTTAAATCAGTCTTCATTTTACTAAAGTTACTTATATTTCAATCTAGCAATGAAATTGAACGCCTTAGCCGAGGAGCAGAAAAACTTGGCCGGGTGGTTGAATTTTCACACAGAGATGTTCAGAATCAGGTACCATTAATTTACTCCGAAGTATTTTGATTTCATGTCTTAATGGGTATTAAAAAAATACAAAATTATTTATATTTTACGATTTGATTTCAGACTGGACTACTTAAGCCACGGCACACCCAAGGTTCAGAGCAAAAGAAAAAGATGAAGCTACTGACGTTGCATCAGCTTATTTTTTCCTTATGTAACAGTCAAATATGTTTAATAAATTATTGTTGCCTGAAACTTCATTTGAATGTTTCTTTATTCTGCTGAAGATGTGAAGTGAACTACAGATTACTGAACATGGAATTCATTACATATATACATAGTTAAATACAAAACGTACTGGTCCCATTTTTAGTAAAGGGAGCTGTCCCTATTTCAACGTATTCTAACAATGTGTTTTGTACACTAATGTTACGAACAGTAATGTTTCGATTAAATCATTGAATATAAATTTACAGGCAGGCCCGTAGCAACGGTTTCAAAATTGGGGGGGGGGGGCTTCCCAAAAAATCTGACCAAAAAAAAACCAACCTAATTTACTGTCCAAATCCTGGAATTTGCCAGTCCTCGACCTTACAACAAGTTGGGGGTGGGGGGGGGGGGGGGCAACATCTAAAGAAAAATTTACTATAGCAAAATTTACTATAGCAAAATACTATACTCAGAAAAAAAGTGCCCCCTTCCCCCGCGTTCTACGGACCTGACAGGTGCTAGTATTTTTCATTTAATTTTCCACTGAACTTATGGTTACACATGATCAGCGATTTGAAATGAATGGTCGGTGCTTAGCTTCACTAGATAATATTGAATCAAAATTAAAACTCTTAAGGGCCGGTACACACGATAACGCTTGCCTTGTAAGTCATGGAACTTAAGTTCTTGCCTTACCGTGTGTACACCCTTAATACACGGTTTTTCGAGCCTTACAAGTCTGAATAGAGCACTGCTCTATTTCTTAAGGTCAGATGATACGTTCCTCGAATATCTGTTTTGCAAATCTTCGTAATGTATAAAAAATATTCAAAATTTTAACTACCATCTGATTTCTTAGCAGGTTTCTTATTGTCTTGAAATAATCGAAACACAAAAAGTGGGATATTGGCAAATAAATTTTTTCCCAAAAGGATTATATAGGTAACACTTTCCTCTGGTATCTTGCACAAAAGCCTGGTAACTGGTAAGGTACCTTAATTTTTTGCGAGTAAACATGTTAAAGTAGCAATACTTCAATGACAAAATCTTGGAAAAAATTATATATTAATGAGGAACGTATCGTCTGTCCTTAATACAAGACTTAGCTGAAATTTTCTTCTCAACCAATGAAAATCATTCGCCCAAATGTCATTCTATTTTTATCAAACCATACACGTGGGTATATTGAAGTGAACACAAAGTATTTTCGAATAAGCTAATGAAAATACCCACAAATGCTTCTGTTCAACCTCTTCCTCTTTTTTAAAGAAGTGTGAATGTACTTGTTGGTATAATTATTATGAAGTCTGATAATCTATTCTTCTATTTTAATGACCGAATGCACGATTTATGGCTGGAAACACGTGGGATTTACGGAAATGTATATAATCTCGTAAATCTTGCCTTAACGTGTGAACACGAGAGCCGCACATCCTGCAAAACGTAAGGTTTTAGACTTATAAGGCAAGTCTTACCGTGTGTACCGGCCCTTAGGAATACAAATATTCCTTCTGTTATTTACTTACGTAATATTAATGAAACAGAGGTCTAATCTGGTGAAAATCTATATTGAATTTGTAACAAATAGACAATACATGTATATACTGAAAGAAAAGAAACACAGTATAAACAATGTTTATGTTTAAAAAAAAATTAAAGAATCCCTTAATTTTTTTGAAAGTATTAAACAGTTAAAAGACGTAGCACATAAAAGCACACAAGGATAAACATCTAACTTTCAATTTATGTGACCTTAAGGCAAAAGCGAAAAGGTCAACCTTTTTATTTTTTCTCCTGCAAATTTTTTTTTTACCATTTCTACCACCCTCTTCCAGGCGTGATCCAGGATTTTTTCTAGGGAGTTCGCCTCAAAAATTTCCAACCCAGAAATTTCTTGTCAAAAAAAAACAAAACAAAACAAAACAAAACAAAAAAAAAAAAAACAAACAAACAAACCTGGACAACTCTTTTTCCCAAAAGTGAAAAACCTATTTCTGAACAGTGGCCCATATTTTCTGTGTGTGTGGGGGTGGGGGGTGGGGGGTGGGGTGGGGGGTGTTAAAAGTCATTTTTTTTATGTGCATTTAATAACTCAGCAAATCCAGGGAGGGCCGGTGTAAAGACGAATAACAACCCCCATAGAATAATGACCGGGGGTCATTTTTGCCGAGATCATTATTCAACGGCGAAAAATGACCCCCGGTCATTATTCAACGTCGAAAAATGACCCTTTTGCCCGTAGAAAAAGTGTCATCACCCTAAAAATCTGCATACCCTACGTGAAGAAAAATGACCCCCGTAGAATAATGACCCCATGTGGATTAAAGAGGATTAAAGTTGAAATTTGGGGGAGGGGGGGGGGGCAAAAAAAAATCAAGAGACCTGTTGGCCAAAATGCTCACCTTAGCTAAATTGAGAATAAATCGATGATATGTTGATCTCATTACATTTTACAATTATTGCTGGGTTTTTTTTAAAGATCAATGCGATGATTCAGAACCGAGAGGAGTAAAAGATTTATCGAGCCCAAAGGGCGAGGTTAACATTGTTTTTCGATGGTGAAAAATCATCGTACTGACTGAAAAAAGCAGCAATAATTGTTTTATTATATGATTCAACGAGTAAATTGATACAAACTGATTAAGTTTTTTGTTTACATTTGCTCAAGTCCTAGCAAATCACAGTGAGAGAAATGAAGTTAACATAAGTATCACCCTCAGATAGTTATAGATAAGTTTAAACTTTAGATTTAAACTTTTAATGTAACATAAGCATAACTAGTATAATTTTGCATTTGAAATCTATTTTTAATGCAATGTAGAAAAAATGAATGTCAGGCATAGCATCGAAAGGGGAAATGGGGCATTATAAGAGGCAAAATGACAAGTTACCTTAAAAATATCTTTAATGAACCCCTCAAAAAGTTTATTGATGTAAGGGGGATTTCCTTTTACTCTACTGTATCAAAAAAGGTAGGGATAGGGCAACCAGACTTGCAATGAACATTTACAAGCGAAAAAAATAAAAATTGCGTTCATGAAAATGGAAGGGGGAGGACACCGCACCCCACCCCACCCCTGATTCTATGAGCCTGAATGTAATGTTCACCTTGTCCACTCAAGTAGGAGAGATTTTTTTTAAAATATACTGTATAAAAAAGAAATGGTGGGTACGAGACTGAAATTGGTAAGATTTAAATTCAGAAAAGGGGGAGAGCAATCCCTCCTCATTCTCCGTTTCTTTATGCCTGAATATTATGACATTGTTCAATTTAGTGGAATTCGGATGCAGGTGAAATAACTTTTCAGAATTGTTTTCAATCTATTTTTAGTTCAATGTAGAAAAAATAAATCCACATATTTACCTGGAAGGTCAATAAAATGGTCTGTCTTTAATGATAAACTGAAAACATTAATTTATTTCAATATACAATGTATTGAAATTTTTTTCATATTGATTTGACAAATGTATCACTGTGGATTTAAAAAAATTTCCTCTTACATGTATGTATCCTATTCTCAGACGACCATTTAACAGGCTTGAATGTACATTATACTGGGATTCTTCTTTATTATTTCTATATTTTTGAAAAGAAATTCCCATAGATTACTGTTTATAAATAAAATTGAATGCACATTATACGATTGTAAATAGATAAATCATATACGGTGCCAAATTTGATGCTGCACCAGATGCACAGTCATCTTGACAAATTACTAGTGTCGTTTACTGATTTTTATTTGGAAATTTAAAAAAAGTACACCTGACTCTAGTATGTCTCTTCAGTGATGCTCAAGCCGAAACGTTGGAAATCTAAAATATTTAAATAAAAAAGACTTTGGAAAGCTGAAAAAATGTGCCAAAGGCTGGAGCCAAATACGTCGAAGGATTAGAGCTATGTATGAAGGAGATAATCCTTAATTTTGAATAAAGTTCTAAATTTTACCACAGCAGTTAAATATATATCCGTATTTTCAAGCTCGTACAGAAGTACTTAGCTTCTGTATAAGAGACATTAGGGGACTAACAGTCCACAAGCAGAGGCCTCGACATGTATTTCAGACATGCAGAAATTTTATGTCCTTCTCATGTTTGCCACGTCTGCTTCATATATGGACGTTCTACTGACTATAGACGATAAAGACCAACTAACAATTAAATTGTCTGACAAACGGGATAACTTCAGCCGTTTCTATCGTCAACTTTCCTTATTTATGTAGTTATTTTTAGGGAGGGGACGATATATCGAGATATCGATAATATCGATTCTGTGTGAGGACGATACGCATATCAATACATATGAAAAAATATCGCCAAAAAATTCTGACTTATGTTTTTCTTTGTTAGGTTAACATTTTGGGTTTAGTTTATAAAATGAATATGCTAAATATGAAATACATAATAATTAACATAATAATAATTAAAATAATTTTGTTTTACAACAGATATACAACTTCTTTGAATAAATTACTCTTTTTTTGAAGAAATGTTTTGTTCATTTCAATACAAAAACATTTTATAACCAATTCAACATATCGTGATACATATCGTATCGTGGCTCAAATATCGTGATACGTATCGATATAGAAAAAGTTGTATCGTCCCAGCCATAGCTATTTTCCACTATCATTTGACGTTTACGTCTACCAATTTAATCGATACCCAAGAGCACGATTAATTTCTAAATCGAGGCAGACTATTGACAGATACATGTAAGGTGATGTTACAGGGGTTTCAACAACATCGTTTAAAGTCAGCATTTCGTAAAGTCAATGGTCGTATCAATGACCCTGTCAACAAATATAACCTATAATTGGGTCAATTGTTTGCCTTTGTTTATATACTAAATTCGACGACGGAATGTCCCGTTTACCTGATAAAAATTTATTCATTGGGCTCATGGCGGGTGTGACGGGTCAACAGGGGATGCTAACTCTTTCTAGGCACCTGATCCCTCCTCTGCAAATTCGGGGTCTTTTTTACGCCCTGTTTAAATAGAATTGTATTGTTTGTGGATATTTTAAAATCATCACTGTTCGTTATCTTCACC